CAACGAACCCCTGTTGCTTTGCCTCGGGCACCTCTGTGCCAGCAACATCAACACAGCTAATATACTCAAAGCACTGGCTGATGGTGTGGGGGCTTTGTCTGCTTGGGAGTCTTAAAACATACACAGGCCAAATAATTCTGCCTCCCTCCACATGTGAGTTACTACTGCCCCTTAGTGACCACCCCCCAGCACATGAAAACATTCTGTCCCTAGACCTCTCCTCCCACACACGGCTCTCAAGAGCCCAGTTCTGCTCGGGTAGCTGCTACTAGCTCTACTTCTACTCTCCCCTGGATCCTTTACCCCACTCCCATGCATTAGAGGGGGTGTGGGGACATTTCTGGGGGGCAGCCTCTTCTCCCTCATCCCTCACTTCCTTCCAGGCCTAACGTTCTTCAGCTTCCCCTCAAAGGCCAGGGGCTCTGAGGAGGGACAGAGGCTGAAAGGGAGCCCCATCTCCCTAGTCTGTTCCCCCATGGCAGCCCCTTGTATTCTGCCCCCCACCCCCTGCCCAGGCTCAAAAGTAGTCAGCAGCTCCCTCCTTTTCCCCACAGGTTCCAAGTTTGGCAGGCTCCCCCAGGGGGCAATAGAGGGTGGAGAGTGAACCGTCTCCCTACCCTCAGTGTAGGCCCCACAGCAGCCCTTGATGGTGGTAAGGGGTCATCGCAAGGGAATCTCTGCAGCTCTGCTGGGTATGTGGAGCTGGAATGAGGACACCTGGGAATCTCAGACAGGAGATTCCTTCATAAACCCTGCCCCTTTGCCAACATACCACGCTTGGGAATGGGACAGAACTCTCCATTTGCTAGAGGAGCTAATGGTACATAATAACCCAAGTGCTTACAAACACTTGTTAAAGTGCCTAGAGCCATGTACCAGCAAGTCTGCATATAAAGCGCAAAGGAATACAACCAGTTAAACTCACGTATTGCCAAGGAAGGTTTTGCCAGACCGCCAAATCTATGGCCTGATCCCACTGAATGCAGCCAAAACGGCCTTTGACTTCAGTGCATACAAAAGACGGCTCAAGAGAGTAAGGGGGGCAGAATCAGGTCTGACAATAATACGTCTGCCCCTTCTGTAGCGCAGTGTGTTTCTAGCATCTCTTTGTAATTTCTCTGGTTGTTTGTAATAAAAAAAAAATGTGCCTCTAATTTTTGGCTTTTCTTCTTTCACAAATCCCGCTTTCCTACAGCCCCAGCCACCCCGATCTTAGAATCCCTTCTCAATGCCCCACTCCTTCCAAGCTGGCCCAACTGTTTTGCTTTACTTCCTTGTTTGTGCAGCAGCAGCATTGCCAATACCAGTGAATTTCTGGGGACGCATGCATGTTAATTACCTGCTGCTTCAGAGCAGAAGGGAGGGAGTAGAAAGGGCTCCATATAGAGTTTTATTTTGGTGCCTACAATCACTCAGCACTATACTACGTGGAAGGGAAGGATGCATTCCTCAGTTTCCTACTCATCAAGGAGGGGATATGGATGGAAGAACAGCAAACTCGTGCCTGCAGTGTATATGATCACAATACAGCCTGTGGCACGTTACACTGTACAATTCATTCTGGTCAGACAGTAGTAAATGAGATATGTCCTATATCTGACCAGCCAGACTCTCTTCAGATGATCATACCTGGGATGGCAGAAGAGCTGAAGATAACAATGGTCCCAAACAGGACAAAATACAAGACCTACTTTGGACCTCATCTTCCTGTAGCACACTCCCTTCACGTTCTGCCTGTTCTCAGAGGAGAACAAGGAAGAAGAAACGAAAAGAAGAGAGAAAGAGATTAAGAACCCACTGACTTTACCAGCCCTTGGATGGGAGGAGAGATGCAAGAAATGGCTCCATAGGACCCTGCAGTCTTCAGAGGTAGAATTCCCCTTGGAAATGGCTGAGGTATCACATCCTAAGTGATTAGTCGCAAGGAAGCTCTTTATGGAACATCTTTGAATAGGCTCTTAAAGCTTTGGCACATCTGCATTACACCACAGGGAACATCAGAGCACGTAGCATCACAACATTCCCCTCCTCCTCCCCGCCCCCAGTATGGTCTTTTTCTTATTTTAATAACAAAACCACCTGAATTGCTGACCATTCACTGAACCAACCACCCCTGACTGCAGAGCTGGCTGGAGAACATCACCGAGGCCTCATTATTAATATCCGCATTTGTAGGTGTAGTGGAGTCAGCAGTCCCTTCCATAACTGTATGGTCCAGGCCAGAATTTAGGGAGATCCTGCGTGGTAACACAAGGCAACACTAGCTGCAGTTAGTCAATCTGGAAGCTAGAGAGAACCACAGGGTGTATCCGTGTCCAGCAGCCCCATTAAAGAATCCCCTTTCTATTCATCACCTGCCAAGTCCTGCCTCTTCTCTACCATTTGGGACACTGCAATAGAGGCGCCCATCCCTGTAGCTTTCCCCACCTTTAAAATGGGGATAGTAATTATGTAGCTCACAGGTGTGTTGGGAGGAGTAATTCAGTAATCCCTGTAGACGAGCAATGCAAGACCCTCAGAGCAAGGTCCTATGGAAAGACAGAATACCATTATCATTGAAAACCAAACATTTCCCCACTCCCTGACCTTTTGAAATACACATTTCAACACTTCAGTTTGTTTGTTCTCTCACATCAACCTTTTAAAGGCCAAATATTCTTGGAATATATTTTTTAAACAATACAATTATTTATAAACAGGGCTGCCTCTACTAATCCACTCCCCTGGCTCCCAGCTGTGCTTACGATCAGTTAATAATAAACTTGGGATATAGATTTCCCATCTTAATGAGACATCTCGCTGGGCCCCTTTTGTAAATAACTGATGTATACATTTTCATTTCAACACAGAGGGGTATATTGAACAGACCAAATTTCCTTCATGTTGCAGTGGGGGTAGGGAGAGTTTCTAATTTTCTTTTAATAGAGAGAAAGAGCAAGAAATCAGAGACTGAGCATCTGACCTGTCATGTTCACGACTCTCTAGTCAAATTGGTTATTTCCCTACGTGGGCTCAGACCAGTAGCTTGGCTCACTTTACCAGGCTACTTTGCATGCTGATTTTCATGTTTTCATGTTTTAAACTGTTCTAGAATGACAGAAAGATAAAATTGCAAAAGGAAGGAAAGGATTTTATGGTGGTTTATAGAGAGGGCTGAGTCAATCACTGATTTTTCAGCTCAGTGACCAACCTGAAAAATCTGGAAAAAAATAATCATTTTGGGTCAACCGGAAAAAAAAGTTATTCGTTTTGTTTCATTTTCGGGTGTCGTTTACCCCTTTTAAAAATAAATTGAGCTAAATTTCAAAACAAAAATGGTCTGAAACATAACATTACATTTTGAAAATGTCAAAACAAAA